TAATGCTACTTCGTCTATATATTCTACATTGAAAACATCTTCAGGGCGTTTAAAGAACATACTGATAGTATTAAAAATATATGTGACATGTCTAAAAAAAATACATGTACATATTGATTGATCTATGTAAAGTTGGAATACAAATTTAATAAATCATTATTTTACACGCTATAATGCCATGGGCAAATAATTTTCCAATTTGTTATCAATCTTTTAACTCTTAGATTTTTGGATGTCATATTAAGCAATCGCTGATCAGTTTGTTACAGCCAGTTTCGGTCTTTTTCTATATTATTATTTTGATCTAAATTTGTTTTAAAGATCCCAACCGAGGGTCCGATCCCAACCGAGGGTCCCCGGGATATAGAAATTAGCCGGAGTTTCTCTATTAGAGTACGGGTAGAGAATCTGCTAAAAGAGGTGCAACTTTGGCTGTACGGGATGAATTAATTTCGCAGCCACATCAGGTCGGAATTTGGACGTTAAATCCGATATCTCGTATAGAAAATGTGTCAAGCTCTCTGCACAACAGAGAGCCATAGATTTTGCGTAGTGAACACTTAAAGAGACACTTTCTGTTTCTAACTAAAATGTCCTCATTCTCCTGTTACAGTTCAAATTTCCAACCATGCAACTCTATCGACCCCTTTTGCAGAGCGTCCTATTAGATGTATTTCAAACTGGCTATGCATGAAATATTTGCCACTGAACGTTAAGCAAACAACAATCACAATCATGTTTTGAAAAAGGTGTTCATAAATTTAAAATCAGGGCACTATAAAAAAAAGATATAATTAAAGGCATTTCTAGTCACACAAAGGTAACATAATTAGTACAAAATAATTTTTTTTTTTTAATTACCAGTCTGTAATTGTTATTGAAACAAACATTTTTCAATCACTAGCAATCATGTTTCTTCTTTACAATAATGAAATTAATTATTAATCAAACAGCTTAGTTCTGACTTTTTTTTCGAACCAAGAATATATTCTTTTATCATCAAAAAGTTATATAATATTCCAAACAACAAGCGTGAAAAGCTGTTCTTTTTAACAGTAAAAATGTACATCACTGATGATGTGTTTAAGTTATGTACAACCATTTGACTTTAAACCTGTATATAAACCATGATAAGTTGCTGATAGTATAGAGATGGCTGCCCGAGCAAGTAGCGTAATATTCATTAAACAGAAATAATGACAAATTATATATATACATATCAAAACTTACCTTATTTATTAGTGAAGACATTCCAGCCCGAAGTAAACATACATGCAGATAGTGTATATAATAACTAATACATATTCATAAAAAAATGTCAATACTAACATATGCATATATCATTGTCATATGTATGTAAGGCCCTGAGCAGGATAAGATGTCACTAAGACAAATGTTGTCGATTTATATTTTAGCTTTTATAGGAACAGCTGTGTACAAATATATATCTTTTATTTATAGAATCAATAGCAAGACGAAAGGTGAAGAAAATATGTTTAATCGAAACTAAGTATAAAATTAAAGTGCAATCTGGCGCAGTCCTCTGACATTGGCCGACTGGCTTACTGGAAACAGTCCTCTGACATTGACCGACTGGCTTACTGGAAATCATCGGACTACAAACTGATAGTTCCTTCTTGGAGAATTATAGTTCTTATTTCCTACGTTCTTTTGAAGGTGCAAGTTAAGAATTGTTTAATGAATAAATTATGAAGTTGTTTGTGAAATCGGCAGTATACCACTTAGGCTTTGATTAAATTGGTTTAAAAACAGGTTTACAAGATGGGTACCTTGTAAAAGACTAAAGACGTAATTCATCTATTCTAATTAAATTTCACATTAAAAGAATGTTTTTTTTTGCTATTTTGAACTGAAATTAAGTTATTTAGTGATTCTGTTTTATTAGATTAAAGACAGACAGGTTGCCAGGTAGATAAGTTAACAGGTCGACAGGTTAACTGGAATACAAGTGGAACAGGTAAGGTTTAGGGTTAGGGTTATGTTTAGAGGCTTGGGATAGGGTTACGTTTAGAGGCTTGGGTTAGGGTTACGTTTAGGGACTTGGGATAGGGTTACGTTTAGAGGCTTGGGATAGGGTTACGTTTAGAGGCTTGGGATGGAGTTACGTTTAGAGGCTTGGGATAGGGTTACGTTAAATGGCTTGGGATAGAGTTACGTTTAGAGGTTTGTGATAGGGTTACGTTTAGAGGTTTGGGATAGAGTTAAATTTAGAGGTTTGGGATAGGGTTACGTTTAGAGGCTTGGAATATGGTTACGTTTAGAGGCTTGGGATATGGTTACGTTTAGAGGCTTGGGATAGAGTTACGTTTAGAGGCTTGGGATTTGGTTACGCTTAGAGGCATGGGATAGAGTTACGTTTAGAAACTTTTGATAGGGTTAAGTTTAGAGGCTTTGATAGGGTTACGTTTAGAGGCTTGGGATAGGGTTACGTTTAGAGGCTTGGGAAAGGTAACGTTTACAGGCTTGAGATAGTGTTAATTTTAGAGGCTTGGAATAGGGTTATGTTTAGAAGCTTGGGATAGCGTTACGTTTAGATGCTTGGGATAGGGTTACGTTTAGAGGCTTGGGATAAGGTTACGTTTAGAGGCTTGAGATAGAGTTACGTTTAGAGGCTTGGGATAGGGTTACGTTTAGAGGCTTCGGATAGGGTTACGTTTAGAGGCTTGGGATAGAATTACGTTTAGAGGCTTGAAATAGGATTACGTTTAGAGGCTTGGGATGGGGTTACGTTTAGATGTTTGGGTTAGGGTTACGTTTAGGGACTTTGGATAGGGTTACGTTTAGAGGTTTGTGATAGGGTTACGTTTAGAGGTTTGGGATAGGGTTAAATTTAGAAGTTTGGGATAGGGTTACGTTTAGATGTTTGCGATAGGGTTACGTTTAGAGGTTTGGGATAGGGTTACGTTTAGAGGCTTATAATAGGATTACGTTTAGAGGCTTGGGATAGGGTAACTTTTAGAGGCTTGGAATAGGGTTACGTTTAGAGGTTTGGGATAGGGTTACGTTTAGAGGCTTGGAATAGGGTTACGTTTAGAGGCTTGGGATAAGGTTACGTTTAGAGGCTTGGGATAGAGTTACGCTTAGAAGCTTGGGATAGGGTTACGTTTAGAGGCTTGGGATAGAGTTACGTTTAGAGGCTTAGGATAGGGTTACGTTTAGAGGCTTGGGATAGGGTTACGTTTAGAGGCTTGGGATAAGGTTACGTTTAGAGGCTTGGGATAGAGTTACGTTTAGAAGCTTGGGATAGGGTTACGTTTAGAGGCTTGGATAGGGGTTAAAGTTATGGTATGGAATAGGACTTGGTGGTAAGGTAAGGTGTAAGGATTCGGATTATGGTTAGGGTTAAGTATAGGGTTAAGGGTTGGGGTTTATGTAAGTTTTAAGGTCACGGTTAAGTTTACGGTGAGGATTACGGTTAGGTTTAAGGTAAGGGGAAATTACAGTGGTTAGGGTTAGCATTAGGATTTGGTTTAGGTTTCACGCTATCCTATGTGTAGTAAACCTTGCGGTATGGAATGTAATTTTCTGTTTTGAGATGTGCTGTGGTGGTATGTTGTTATGCTTCCTATCTGTAGTAAACCTTGCGGTATGGAATGTAATTTTCTGTTTTGAGATGTGCTGTGGTGGTATGTTGTTATGCTTCCTATCTGTAGTAAACCTTGCGGTATGGAATGTAATTTTCTGTTTTGAGATGTGCTGTGGTGGTATGTTGTTATGCTTCCTATGTGTAGTAAACCTTGCGGTATGGAATGTAATTTTCTGTTTTGAGATGTGCTGTGGTGGCATGCTGTTATGCTTCCTATCTGTAGTAAACCTTGCGGTATGAATTGTAATTTTCTGTTTTGAGATGTGCTGTGGTGGTATGTTGTTATGCTTCCTATGTGTAGTAAACCTTGCGGTATGGAATGTAATTTTCTGTTTTGAGATGTGCTGTGGTGGCATGCTGTTATGCTTCCTATCTGTAGTAATCCTTGCGGTATGCAATTCAAATTTTTGATTTGAGATGTGGTTATATTTGGTTGACCGTTACGGAGTATCTGTGCCACAGATGTTCCACTTGTCAAATCCAAAAATCCCGTTCTCTTTACTTCGAATGCGTCTTTTTAACGTACAATTAACAACACAGCAGGTGCAATAAGTAGAGGAGAACTGCTTAATACCTTTCCGGTTGTTAGACTAACAAGTAGTTGAGCTACAGTGTGCAGCTGGTTGAAAGCATGTTGTTTTGCAGAGGCGAAAAAACAGGGACATTGAAGATAGACTCTCCAACATAAAGATTTGATACCATAACGGGATATTTCGACAGTTCAGTTTGTAGATGCTGCTTCACACCTCATTCACTTGGACTAAGTGACAATATAATGTATACTTTAGGTGTGACTATAAGACTTTTCATTAATTTTTGTAAATTTCAAAAACATGTATGCTTAATTTCTTGTGATTGTGACAAGTGCTTTGATATTTATGTGCTTTTTTCACATCTTGATTATTATCTATATGCTTGTTTTCATGATCGATTGAACATGAATAAATATATATTCCTTATTTTATTTATCTTTCGTTTACATTCAGTAAGTTGTCAAAGAAGAGTTTTTTTTGTCATTCCTTAGAAAAAATCATTTCAAACATACAGAAAATAAATGGGGAATGTGTCCATGGGACACAGATGATGCCCCCGCTTGCATATCATATAAAGTTATAAAGGGACATAACTGAAGAACAGTAAAGGTGACGCTACCCAAATTTGTACTTGATCTGAGTTTTGTGGTAAAAGCATTGTGTATAAGTCTCATAACATTTGGTTGAGGCTAACTTAAGTTAGAGAACAGAAACGAAAAATTCAGCAATTTTTCCATTTGTAAACAGGCATAACTCTAGAACGGTAAAAGTGACACCACCAAAATTCATCCTTGATCTGTATTTTGTGGTAATTAGCATTGTGTATAAGTTTCATAACATTTGGTTGAGGCAAACTAAAGTTAGAGAACGGAAAGTTTTTTATTCAGTATTTTGTATAAAAATGTAACAGCTGTATATTTTATAACTTCACAACTTAACATAATCGCAAATTGCATTGATGACTGAATGTCCAACGAATGATATTACTGGAAATGAGACGATTGCTTGCCAAAGTGTATTAGCATGTTGCACTTTTTCCAGTCGTTTTCATAGACTATTTGTTAGTCAGATAAACTCCTCTCCTCATTCTTTCCGTGTATATAATACTCACATCCATTATATTGCCACAGTATGAATGTTAAGTATAAGGAAACACTACTAAACCTTACAAGACCAACCACGAAGGCTCTCAACAATTGTTTCATTGTTCTGATGAATTACTTTCAAATTTACAATCTATGATTTCATTTTATATCCAATTCTGAAAACACAGAATATAGTCCGTTTAATTTAATTTTTTGTTCTGTTGTCGAGACCTCATCATCAAAGTCTGTAGTCTCCAAGGACAATAAAGCTATAAGACTATCCAGTTTAGTTAAGTCTGGTTTGTTGTCATCAAGTTTAAACTGGAGTGGACTGTATCCCTTTTCCTTGAGATCTCTTACCATCTGACCTTCGCTGTGTTGTGGTAAAAATGACACAAAGACAAGTCTAGCTGGGAATACCTCTTTGTAGTATTTATCAAATAACTCTGCAAACCTAAAAAGACACAAATTATAAACATATTCTGACTGCAATTTTGTAATATAAGCAAAAGTAATATTTAATACCTTTTTTTGTTTACTTTAATTAAATAATTGAGAATCTACATGTCATTTGTCTAGAAAGGTAGATTTGGGATATTAAGTTTACACTTTTTCACAAAAATGATGCTATTTTAAAATACTTGAAAGTACTCAATGTTATCAAATTTCAAACATGTTTGAAACCTGTTTATTTGGCGAGATGATTGCATGTTGCGTTTATCTTTACCCCGGTGGTAGATTCTGAACTAGAAGTATACAACCTGTAAATAATTTAAAGTACTCACCAAAATTCCTCACACTGTTCATTTTCTCCTTCATCTGTCACGATGATAAATGTTTTGACAATTTCCTTGTTCTTATAGAATGGATAAAGACTAGCAGCTGGCGCTGTTGCATTATCCGCTTTTGTGGACAGTGCTAGATTTAAAACTTGTTCTACATTTTCAGGGAGGTAAGGGGCATCTCTAGAGTGATCGTCGAAGAAAACCAACTTTGCAGAGGTAATTTTTGTTAAAATTCCAGCAATTATAACACTAGTTTTGATAGCCACTTCCATTGACCCTGAAGCATCACCAACTATAACAATCGGCTCTTCAAGTGGTAAACTGAAAACAAACAAGGTCGTTCATTACACATACTTAAGTATAAACAATCATTCTGAGAGTATTTCAAGGCAATACATAGTCCCCTACAGGGTAAAAATTCATTATACTGGAACAAAAAGCTAACTTGTTCTATAACTTTTCATGGTGTAAAGTTAAACAAAAAGAAAATATCAAGTCAATATCTTCAAGCATGACTAATAAACTGCTTCGCTGAGCGCAGCTGGATACACCCGCAGAGGTCCAACCCTGAACAGTTTGGGCAAAAATGGACACATTATTCAAGCTTGATACAGGTCTGAATTTGGATTGTAATTAAATATTTGATATATTATAGGTTTCTGAATAAATGTAGTCAAAGAACTTGAAATTGGTTATATGAAAGATTTCTTCCTGTTGTGCAAAACACTGTGCTGTAGCGTAATACTTAGTAAATCTGTTGTCAAGACTATAAACAAATAAAATCTTATAACTCGGAAACATAAAATCAAAAACTTATAAAAATCAAAGGGGAGCTTACAAAAATAGATATAAACAATTTACCAAAGTTTCATAAAAAATGCTGAAAGCATTTTTGAGTTATTGTCCGAAAACTGGAAATCCCCCTTTTTGTAATGAATAAAACCCCATAAATCGGAAACGTATAGTCTGAAATTTATAAAAAATCAAAAGGGAGATTATGTCGATAGTAAATAAAATGCTCCGCAGGGCGCAGCTTGATACGACCGCAGAGGTCGAACCCTGAACAGTTGGGGCAAGTATGGACACAACATTCAAGCTTGATACAGCTTTGCATTTGGATTGTGATTAAATATTTGACACAGCATAGGTTTCTGACACAGAATAAATGTGGTCTAAGAACTTAAAATTTTTAAATTGGACATTCACCTATTATGGTCCAATATCCAAAATCTAAATACATGGTTAGATTCAGCATATAAAAGAACCCAAGAATTCAATTTTTGATGAAATCAAACAAAGTTTAATTTTGGACCCTTTTGATCTCAATGTGGACAAAGTTGATAACGGGGCCCAAAAATCAAAAATCTAAATACATGGTTAGATTCAGCATATCAAAGAACCCCATATATTCAATTTTTGTTGAAATCAAACAAAGTTTAATTTTGGACCCCGATTTGGACCAACTTGAAAACTGGGCCCATAATCAAAAATCTAAATACATGTTTAGATTCAGCATATCAAAGAACCCTAAGAATTCAATTTTTGTTAAAATCAAACTAAGTTTAATTTTGGACCCTTTGGACCTTAATGTAGACCAATTTGAAAAGGGAACCAAAAATTAAGAATCTAAATACACGGTTAGATTCGGCATATCAAAGAACCCCAATAATTCAATTTTTGATGAAATCAAACAAAGTTTAATTTTGGACCCTTTGGACCTCAATGTGGACCTATTTAAAAACAGGGCCCAAAATCCAAAAACTAAATACACGGTTAGATTCAGCATATTAAAGAACCCCAAGAATTCAAGAATAAAACCCCATTGAAATTGGTCAAGAAATAAGCAATTTATACGAAGTATCTTCTTTTGCACAATACTGTGCAATTAAATATTTCTTGCTATTGCGCAATACTGTACAATTGACAATTTCTTGCTATTGCGCAATATTTTGCTATTGCGCAATATTTTGCTATTGGATATTTCTTGCTATTGCGCAATACTGTGCAATTGAAGATTTCTTGCTATTGCGCAATACTGTGCAATTGAAGATTTCTTGCTATTGTGCAATACTGTGCAATTGAAAATTTCTTGCTATTGCACAATACTTATTATATAATAATTTACACATCCTGTTTGGTGTGTATCTCCTACCATATCATTATTATTTGCTTTTAAATATAAATCAGAAATAACCAACTTAAAATGGAAAATTTTAAAAGAAAAAAAAAGGAAAAAAAAAAATCCCCCCCCCAAAAAAAATTTTTGAACCCCCTTATGATTCATCACCCCCAAACTCAATCCCAGCCTTCCCTTTGTGGTATGGTACCTTGCAGTACAATTTCAGAGAGATCCATACACTTGAACACAAGTTATTGTCTGGAAACTAGAAAAATGTGTTTTTTGGCCCCTTTTTGGCCCCAAATTCCTAAACGTTTAGGGAAATTACCCCCAAACTCAAACCCAGCTTTCCCTTTGTGATATGGAACCTTGCAGTATTATTTCATAAAGATCCATACACTTACACACAAGTTATTGTCCTGAAACTAGAAAAATGCTTGTTTTTTGCCCCTTTTTGGCCCCTAATTCCTAAAATATTCAGGCAATTACCCCCATCATCAATCCCAGCCTTCCCTTTGTGGTATGGTACCTTGCAGTACAATTTCAGAGAGATCCATACACTTGAACACAAGTTATTGTCTGGAAACTAGATAAATGCTTATTTTTGGCCCCTTTTTGGCCCCGAATTCCTAAACGTTTCGGCAATTACCCCCAAACTCAATTCCAGCTTTCCCTTTGTGATATGGAACCTTGTAGTACAATTTCAGAAAGATCCATACACTTGCACACAAGTTAGTGTCATGAAACTAGAAAAATGCTTGTTTTTTGTCCCTTTTTTTGCCCCTAATTCCTAAAATTTTCAGGCAATTACCCCCAAAATCAATCCCAGCATTCCTTTTGTGATATGGAACATTGTGGTACAATGTCAGAGAGATCCATACACTAACACACAAGTTATTTCTTGAAGTTACAAAAATGCTTATTTTTGGCCCCTTTTTGGCCCCTAATTCCTTTACTGTTGGTACCATAACCCCCAAAATCAATCCCAACCTTCCTTTTGTGGTATTGAACCTTGTGGTAAAATTTCATAGAGATCCATTCACCTAAACTAAAGTTAGAGTGCGAAAACCAATGTGTCTTCGGACGACGCAGGACGACGCCTGACGACGACGACAACGACGACGACGACGCCAACGTCATACCAATATACGACCACAAAAATTTTTTTGCGGTCGTATAAAAACAATTCACCAAAGTTTCTTGCAAATTGGTGAAATTGTTTTTGAGTTATTGTCTGAAAACTGGAAAATTCCCCCTTTTTTAATGATAAAATCCCAAAACTCGGAAACACTAAATCCGAAATTTATAAAAAAACGAAAGGGAGCTCACGTCAATAGATATGAACAATTCACAAAAGTTTCTTGCAAATTGGCGAAATTTTTTTTTTAGTTATTGTCCGAAAACTGGAAAATCACCCCTTTTTTAATGAATAAAACCCCAAAACTCGGAAATGATATATCTGAAATTTATAATAAAATGCTTCGCTGGGCGCAGCTTGATACGACCGCAGAGGTCGAACCCTGAACAGTTGGGGCAAGTATGGACACAACATTCAAGCTTGATACAGCTCTGAATTTGGATTGTGATTAAATATTTGACACAGCATAGGTTTCTGACACAGAAAGAATGTGGTCTAAGAACTTCAATTTTTTTAATTTACCTATTATGGTCCAATGTCCAAAATCAAAATACATGGTTAGATTCAGCATATCAAAGAACCCCATATATTCAATTTTTGTTGAAATCAAACAAAGTTTAATTTTGGACCCCAACTTGGACAAACTTGAAAACTGGTCCCATAATCAAAAATCTAAACACATGTTTAGATTCAGCATATCAAAGTACCCGAAGAATTCAATTTTTGTTAAAATCAAACTAAGTTTAATTTTGGACCCTTTGGACCTTAATGTAGACAAATTTAAAAAACGGGACCCTAAATTAAAAATCTAAAAACACAGTTAGATTTGGCATATCAAAGAACCCCAATAATTCAATTTTTGATGAAATCAAACAAAGTTTAATTTTGGACCCTTTTGACCTCAATATGAACCAATTTGATAGCGGGCCCACAAATAAAAAATCTAAATACATGGTAAGATTCAGCATATCAAAGAACCCCATATATTCAATTTTTGTTGAAATCAAACAAAGTTTAATTTTGGACCCCAATTTGGACCAACTTGAAAACTGGGCCAAAAATCTAAAATCTAAATACATGTTTAGATTCAGCATATCAAAGAACCCCATATATTCAATTTTTGTTGAAATCAAACAAAGTTTAATTTTGGACCCCAACTTGGACCAACTTGAAAACTGGGCCCATAATCAAAAATCTAAACACATGTTTAGATTCAGCATATCAAAGAACCCTAAGAATTCAATTTTTGTTAAAATCAAACTATGTTTAATTTTGGACCCTTTGGACCTTAATGTAGACAAATTTAAAAAACGGGACCCAAAATTAAAAATCTAAATACACGGTTAGATTCGGCATATCAAAGAACCCCAATAATTCAATTTTTGATGAAATCAAACAAAGTTTAATTTTGGACCCTTTGGACCTCAATGTGGACCAATTTAAAAACGGGGCCCAAAATCCAAAAACTTAATACACGGTTAGATTCAGCATATTAAAGAACCCCAAGAATTCAAGAATAAAACCCCATTGAAATTGATCAAGAAATAAGCAATTTATACGAAGTATCTTCTTTTGCACAATACTGTGCAATTGAATATTTCTTGCTATTGCGCAATACTGTACAATTGACAATTTCTTGCTATTGCACAATATTGTGCTATTGGATATTTCTTGCTATTGCGCAATACTGTTAAATTGAAGATTTCTTGCTATTGCGCAATACTGTGCAATTGAAGATTTCTTGCTATTGTGCAATACTGTGCAATTGAAAATTTCTTGCTATTGCACAATACTTATTATATAATAATTTACACATCCTGTTTGGTGTGTATCTCCTACCATATCATTATTATTTGCTTTTAAATATAAATCAGAAATAACCAACTTAAAATGGAAAATTTTAAAAGAAAAAAAAAAGGAAAAAAAGAAAAAAAAAAAAAAAAAAAAATCCCCCTCCCCCAATTTTTTGAACCCCCTTATGATTCATCACCCCCAAACTCAATCCCAGCCTTCCCTTTGTGGTATGGTACCTTGCAGTACAATTTCAGAGAGATCCATACACTT